TATGCCCTCAATGGATGTTTTAATAGGCTGGACAAGAGAACACTTCTCTCATAGGATACTTATCTATTCCTAATGAAGCAGTTTGCACAACTGAATGCAAACCACCTACTGGATTTTGCACTGTTTTTTTTAATCCTGATTATAAAGCTGGTTTGTAGGAATGTTCCCTGTGGGGTTATTATCTAAGGCCAGAGCTGTTTCTACACTGGAGGCTAGAACTATATTCAGTTAAAACCTTATTCATGATTAACAGGTTCTTTGTGAGGTTTTTCCTCCTTTTTGTTAATTTTTGTGGAATTAATTTTAATTGATTGGTCTCTCTTTCCCTACTTCACTTCAGCTTCATTTCATATACAGTAATTAAAGCTTTTTCTCTACATGCAGAAAAGTCACTACTTTTCTTGTTCCTTGTATAAGTCTGAAAGTCTCTGAAGTGTGAATAGAGACTACAAGACCTCCACCTAAGATGCAGTATTACTTCAGATTCAGACCCACCTCTGCCTTGGTGATGTTGAGTCTCTTATCCTGTAAGTATCTGTAAGTCTTATCTATAAAGGGGGATGGTATTTCCCTATCTCACAGGACTTGCAAGAGAAGAATGATTGTAAAATATTAGAGGTGCAATGTGTTATATACATACAAGGCAAAATATTAGTTCATAGGACCATAGGAAAGTATAGCTGGAAGGAACTTCACAAGGTCATCTAATCCAGCCCCCTTCTCAAGGCAGGATCATCCCTGACTAAATCCCAGGCCAGTTTCTGTCCAACCTGCTTTTGAAGGTTTCCAAGTATGGAGATTCCACAACTTCTCTGGGTAGCCTTTTCCAGTGCGTGTCCCCTCGCGTAGTCAGAAAGCTCCTCCTAATCTCCAGCCTAAGTTTTTCCTGCTGCAGACTGAGGCCATTGCTCCTAGTCCTGTCCCCTACTGCCACAAAAAAAAGCCCATCTCCATTCTCCCTATAATCACAGTTCAGATATTTGAAAACTGTTATCAGATCCCCTTTCAGCCTTCTCTTCTCCAAGGTAAATAACCCTAGGTTTTTTAGTCTTTACTCATATGTCTTTCCTCCGAGGCTTTTAATCATGTTGCCCTGAACTGGACTCTTTCCAAACTGTCCATATCCTTCTTGAAGTAAGGAGCTCAAAACTGGACGCAGTACTTCAATTACACTGTTGTAGGCCTGATACCATGTTTAATGCCCTAGTGTTTATAAAATTTGAAGATCCACTGTGAATGAAAAGAAGCCTAAAGATTTCTGCCATTTGACCTCTCTTGGGATTGGTATGTTGCTATGCAGTCATCAAAGGAAAGCAGACACATTCTCACATGCATGTGTAATGGAGGGAGCAGCAAAAGTTTGGGCTAAGTAGGTGGCCATAGGACAATGAGAGAGCCTGCAAAAGGCATGAAAAGATTGCTAGAAGCTGATGTTTCAGTATCTAGAACAAATTCTGTAAAACACGTACCCCTAGATATGTTAGAGGTTATCAAGTTATCTCATGGCATTAGGTAGATAGACACTTGTGTTTCAGAAGTTCTGAGGATGAAAACAGCATTGAATCTTTTAACAATCATGGGACTGTAGGACAGCAAATTTGTGGTGGGGAGTAGAAAATAAATATCCCAAGATATTAATAACATTAAAAAATGCATGGAAAATTATCCTTTGTCTTTAGTGTTTCTCATCCGAGGATATAAAGGTACAGGGCAAATGTAAAGTTTCTCTACATTTCATCTCATGTATTGTAGGAAAGGGGTTGAATTCAGTCCACATTTCACCATGATATAGACAGCAGGAGAACCTCAAAGGGTTGGGCTTTGATGCAACATTGGTAGATCTGGATTTCCTTGCAAGTTTAAATCTATTGGAATGAAAGAAAAAACCAATTTAGATAAAATACACAGATAAACTCAATCCAACTCTTTAAACATGTGAAGAAAACTGCTGTGATATGAAACCTGACTTGCCTTGGGGTTTACTTTAGTATTTTCCCTAAGTTCAGCAGTTACCTTTCATAATAATCCTAGCTAGAAGCACTCTTTTGTAACATTGGCAAAGGTGGGCTTATGTGCTAGTGATATTATTTTTGGCCCATGAAACTACCTTAACCCTCAATAGTATGACTAGACCTTTGTGCTAGATTAAAGAGTTATTTGTGGTGTTTTCTTAAGATCCCACTCTCTCTGCACCCTACCTGTCTTTATATATTATGTATGAAAAAATTTTAAATCCATATCAGAAAATGTATCTCTTTTTATGCTTTTCTTGATTTCTGGGTGATTTCTTGGCACATATGAGAGAGGGGGAGAGAGTGTTGTTTGTTTGTTTGTTTGTTTTTAATCATTTATGTATCCTTAAATTCCTTCTCCTGGAGTCATTTTTCAAGTCAAGAAAAATACCACTGGATGGAATGTGTGCCTTTCCAGTTGATGCAAATGTAAGATAGAGGAGGAAATTAAATTTATTTATTTAAGGTATGCCTAACATGTTTCAGCAATACGTGAGTTAAAAGCCTGCCAGGTACCTTTGTATTCCCTCACAAATCTTGGCAGTGACACAGTATGTATATTAAATATAAAAACCTATGGCAAGATGTGGGCTTTTTGCAGTCCTAATTGTAATAAATTATTCTGTGTTGAATTATACTTGCTAGTATCAGAGTAATTGTTTTCCAGGGTGATGGAGGGCATAAGTCAGGCAACTCTCATGGAACATGTTTTTAATTTCAAAGTTCTCCTATCTTCCAGTAAATTGGTTTTCAGACTGTTTGAAGGTAGTGTCTCAATTTCCCCACTTTTCTTAAAGTGTCAGGAGTAATTTTGAACTTTGCAGTAAAGCTCCCTGAGATCCTTGAGTGAAGGTTGTTATATAAGTACAACTTATTATTTATGCACTGTACTTACACCATTGGAACTGCACCCCCTTGTGATTTGGGGACTTTATTGTGAGGGCCAATACTGCTTTGACAGACTTTGGAACACCACAGGAACTTGCTGCCAAGAAAGGTCTTCCACAAGAGATAAGCAGCTGATGTATTATAACTTTAGTTACTTTCCCTCCCAGTGCCAATGTGCCCTGATGCCTGAAGCTGCTGGATGAAGGCAATATGCACATAGAGTGAATTGTGCCAGTGCTACCTTTGCTAGGACAATGCAGGACATGTGTACACTGATTGTTAGGGACTGCCCCTCTCAAGCCTACCCCCCAACCTTTTACATTGAAAATCTCTACACTCAGGCCTTGGCTGTCAGGTATCCAGAGCTCTGCTGAACTTCCAGGTATGAGGCTAACCTCACCCTTCCTTGCAGTTTGTTTAGGAGTTAACTCAGGTGTGCAGGCCTTGAACACAGAAAGTCCACCAGCCACAATTGCACAGATCCCTGCTCCTGCTATCCAACTCTTCTGCATTATGCTTCCTCACTCTCTCCTGGCTATGGGCACATTTGTATGTCACTTAAGCCCACAGCTCCAGTGGCCTGTCTTTTCTGCAAAGAAGAGGTAAAAGGAGACTTTCTTCCATGCCTTTCCGGACTGTCCCTGGCTGCAGCTGCTCTTTGCTGTCCTCAGTGCCCTCTTGGGCATGCTGGATTTGGACTTATCTGAGACTCTATGCATCTTCTCTATCCCATACCATGCAGATGAGGGGAGCGTGATCTGCCTGACCACTTTCCAACTGGGGCAGGCCCAGGTGCTGACTCTGAAAAGCCACAGAAACTAGCACACAGAGGCCAGCTCTGATAATGCCCTCCAACTCTTCTGCTGCTTGGTCCAGGTGCATGGCACATTTGATTTTGGACACAGCACTTTGTAACAAAATGCGTATCAGTTTGTGTCACACAGGGCCATGAAGATGGCACTCTGTAAACTGGAAGATGGGCAGCTAGTCCTAAATGTCTATCTCAATGAAGGGTATGGTGGGGCAGGAGGGGATATGGAGTGGTTGTTACTGACAAGTGTTGCATGCTCAGCTCCTGGTGAGCATTTTTACCTTTTGTTTTTAATATTTTTATCATAAAGGTTTAGAAAATCAGAAAGAAGTCTCTCTCTCTCTCTCTCTCACACACACACTCTCTCCCTCTACCTCTCACCCATAACCAGTCAGGTAATCTACAGACTGATTTATAGGATTTAATAGCAATAATAACAAGAAGCACAGTGTGGAGAACTTGAAGGCTGGTTGCACAGTGTGATATAGGCAGATTATGTGGCCCAGGTTGTCTGACAACTACTCTGGGATCAGCCCTATTCATCAGTGTAGACATAGCCATAGTGATTTTGTCTATACCTGTGTGCTGCTTTGTTGACACCAAGAGGCTGGAAATAACAAGATTTGGCCATTTGTGTAAAGAATCTTTAGCAATATTACAGAAACCCACAAGCAAAACTTTCCCACATAGCAATTTGTAGGTAAGAAAAAGAGTAAGAAATGTCCCTTTCAAAAATCAATTCCCTGTGAATGCATTTCCTCCATATGAAAAAAAGTTCCTTCATTTTTGTTGAACAGGTTTTATACAGTTCGCTACAGAGAAAAGGATAAAAACAAGAAGTGGGCTTTCCAGCTTTGCCCAGCTACTGAGACAGTGGTGGAAAATCTGAAGCCCAACACACTATATGAATTTGGAGTTAAAGACAACACAGAAGATGGGATTTGGAGCAAGAGTTTCAATCACAAGACTGTTCTATCTAGTAAGTACTTGACAACATTTCAACTTACCAAAATTATACAATTTGTCAGCAGTCTTGTAGTTCATACTTTATAAGGAAGTCACTATCGACCAGCTTGTCAGTTTATTGGGTAGTCAGTAGGGCTGTGCAAAATGTCACCAGATGTTTTGTTTCAACACTGTTTTGACCCATTTCAAGCTCATGAGGAGGCTGAAGTAGAGGGTGCGGAGGCAAGCGGCTCAGCTGAGTCCGCCTCTCCTGTTGCTGTGCCTCTGACTGATGAGGAAGGGGAAATTGCAGCATCCACACATGCACCCGCACCCCAGAAATGAGTGGGTAGTGTGTTCTGGGATCATTTTGAGCTGGCAGTTGATTCCATATATACTATCTGCCTGCACCGCTGAGCCAAAACCAGCCAGGGCAAGGGAACAAAACACATGAGCACCACGGGGATGCTGGGGGAAAGTGGACAGAAATGGGGGCATGTTGCAAGGGCGAGTGAGATCAGCCAGAGTGTTGGGGAGATGCTTGCTCTGGATAGCCAGCCAGCTTCTCCTTAGTTGAGTGGCCAGGGTTCAGGTGGCTCATGGCACTCATGACCCCATCATACCAAGTGCCTGCACGCACCACCTTCAGGAGGATGGTGGTGCCTTCACCGTATAAGGCATGCAGGGAGTACTTGGGGGAGGAGCTGTGCAAGGCAGGTCCACAGGTGGCCTTACATTTCACCTCGGACATCTGGAGTAGCCATGGTGGAGATCGTGCCTACTTTTCTCTCTCAGGGTGGTGTGACTAATCAGGCCGTTGGTGGGCTTTCCTTCAAGCCAAGGTGATGGATGAGTCCCACACAGCAACCAAGATAATGGGGGCCATGACCCACTTGGTGCAGGTGTGGCTCATTGGGTAGAGTGAGTTCACCCGTGAGTTCATGGTCACTGACAATGGGGCCAATATGATCAAGGCAGTCTGTGATGCCAACTTCGTTGGCATCTGCTGTGTGGTACACAAGTTCTACCTCTGTCTAGGATGCCTTGGAGGGAGACAAGGCTGCTGGTGATGGCGCCAGCACCACCAGCAAGCTCATTTTGAAATGCAGGAAGGTGGCAGGCTACTTCCACCAGACCATTAAGGTGAGCAAGATGCTGTGGGACAAACAGGCAGAGCTGAACATCCTACAGCACAAAATCATGCAGGATGTGGAGATTCGGTGGAACTCCACATACCTGATGCTCAAGAGGCTGGTGGAGCAACAGAAGGCCATCCATGAGATGGCCTTGCTCAGGGAGATTGGGATCAGTGGCCCCCTTAACAGAGCTGAGTGGGATAGCATTCCCAGATCTTGGTGCTCCTCAGGCCCTTCCTCGAGGCCACTGAGACCCTCAATGCTGGCGATGCCCCCCTTAGCCAGGTGATCCCCATAGTGAGGGAACTTCAGAGCCAAATGGAGAGCTTACAGGGGATCAGTGTTCCTGGCTGGGGCAAGCCGCTGTCACCAGACATGCAGGCACTGGTGAGGTAGGTGAAGGAGGGCATCAGGAAATGACTTTATCCCTTCTGGTCCAGTATGGTCCATGTGCTGGCCGCCATGTGTGACCTGAGGGTGAAGGGCAGCATATGCAGAAGCCAAAGCCTGTATCAGTGGACAGAGGTGCTGGTGAAGAGAGTCAAGGAAGCAGAATGGTAGAGACAGGATGTGGAAGACAGGTATCCATTGTCCCATGCCAGCATACCATCCACCAGCCAGTCTCCTCCACCACCACAGGTGCTGCCAATGTGGACCAAGGGCATGGCTTCCATGGTGGGGTCCAGAGGCACCAGGCTCTACCATCAGGCAGGTAGCACTCAGGCCTTGGTGGCTGCCTGTCTCACTGAGGACGTGAAGCCGCTGCTGTGGGACCCCTTGGCCTACTGGGCAAGCTACAGCCAGATGTGGCCGGATCTGGCCACAGTTGCCCGGGAACACCGTCCTGTCCACCGATCAGTGTTGCAAGTGAGAGGGTGTTCAGCATTGCTGGTGAAGTAGTGACACCCCACTGTACCTGCTTGGATCCTGGTTTGGTGGTGCAGCTGGTGTTCCTGAAAGTGAACCTCCCACTGCTGGGGTTTTCCAAGCTCCAGGGACAGATGGAGTGAATGCCACCCTCCTCACTCTGTCTGCGCCTATTTCCTTTTTTCATTTTTTTAAAACCATTTAATGCCCCACTCTCAGAGCTGGGGGGG